ATAACATTCCAGAACTTCCAAGCTCAGCCCTTAGGAGGACCAACAGTTTCCAGTTCCTCTTTCTTGGCAGCCAGCTGCCATGTGAGAAGTCTGACTACCCTGCTCCAAAGACCACATGCTGTGGAAGCCCAAGCCAGCCACAAGTAAAGAGAGGAGCCAGGTGGAGGCAGATGGAGGTGCCTGATATGTGTTGAAGCCTACTCAGACCTTCCAGGAGAGCCCAGATGCCCATGGCCAGCTGACTGCAGCCAAATGAGTGACCCTAGTCAACGCGCAGCTGGGCCCAGTGACTCAGAATCATGAGCCATAGTGAATGGTTTTTGGCTATTAGTTTTGGAGTGGTTTATTGTGCTACAACAGAAAACTGAATCAGTAACTCAAAATACAATCATGTATTATTATTTCTCATGAATTTGTAAGTCAGGTAGGTGGCTCTTCTGATCTGGACCAAGCCTGGCTGATCTCACATGGACTTGCTTGTACCCCTGCAGTCAACTGAGGGCTGGCTGGTCAGGGATGGCCTCATCTGTGAGCATTCAGCTCTCCACAGGACAGGGTCTTTCATACTCCAGTGGGCTTGTTCCCATGACAGAATTCCAACAACAGAAGCAGAAATGCACAAACGTAAAAAAACAACCATTTTTTAAAAGCAGTATTAGGTTCACACACAAAAAAATTTGAGAGATACAGAATTCCCATATACCCCCTGCCCCTACACATGCATAGTCACCCCCATTGTCAGCATCCCCCACACCAGTGTGATACCTTTACTACAATTGATGAACTGACTCCATTATCCCCAATGAACATAGTTTACAATAGAGATTAGTGTGTTATACATTTTATGGTTTTGGACTAATGTGTCAATGACATGTATCCACCATTACAGAACCATACAGAGTAGTCTCACTGCCTTAGAAATCCTCTGTGCTCTGCCTGTTCATCCCTCCTTTCCCCGTCTTGCCTGAGGGTTTTAGCCTTGGGCAAGTTCACTGTGGATTCAGTGAGACCAAGAAATGACAAGGGAACATTCTTGGGGTTAAAGGGTTTATACCTTTGTGGGGAAAGTGAAGGTTCCTATGGCCAGGGCAGGATTCTCACCTGGCCCTGATTGGCTAGCTCACAACACATGTGTGGACAATACATTGTTATTGACTATAAAGAGCTCTGTCCAGTGCTCTGCACAGCTACTGCATGGCTGCAGGAGAGCAGACACTGGAGTGGTGACAGCACTGAGAACAGAGACTGAGATGGCTCAGGGTACAGGGAGGCCCAGAGGCAGAGACTGGCTTGCTGCATACAGACTCACTGTGACTGGGCAGGATTGTAGTGGTTGACCTGCCACCATGGGAATAAAGGTGGGTGTAAACTCTTTCACCCCAAGAACATTCCACTGTCATTTTTTGGTCTCATTGAATCCATAGTGAATTTGTCCAGGGTTGAAACCCATTGGCAAGACAACCCAGCTCTGTTCTCCTGGTGGTAGTTTGAGCACTAGAATCACGTCTGCATCCAAGGGTCTGCAGGTCTGTCATCCTCCTCTGTCTCTGCCTTTGCCCAGAGTACTGGGCAGAGCTCTTTATAAAATGACTCAGTCAATAATAGCTTATTGCCTAGGGTGTGGAAGCAGTAGCCTAGCAGGAGGTCATTTACATTATCAAGTAGTTTAGGGTCAGGTGAGGATACTGGCAATAGAACTTCCAATTTCCCACACCCCCAACTCCTGGCAACTACTGATATTTTTATTGTCTCCATAGTTTTGCCCTCTCCAAAATGCCATATAAAGTTGGAATCATATAATATGTAGTCTTTTCAGGTTAGCTTCTTTCACTTAGCAATATTCATTTAAGTTTCCTTTCTGTCTTTTCATGGCCTAATAGCTCATTTCTTTTTAGCACTGAATAATATTCCACTGTTTGGATGTACCATGGTATATTTATCCATTCACCTACTGAAAGACATCTTGATTGCTTCCAAGTTTCATACAAATTGTGAATAAAACTGCTATAAACACCCATGTGTAGGTTTTTATGTAGATCTAAGTTTTCAGCTCCTTGGGTTTATCAAGAAGTAGGATTGCCAGATCAAATGGAAATAGTGTGTTTCATTTTGTAAGAAACTATCAGGCTGTCTTTCAAAGTGGCTGTACTATTTTACAACCCCAGTAGCAATGAATGAGAATTTCTGTTGCTCCACATCCTCACCAGCTGTGGGTAAGTTGGGGTTCCTATGGCCAGGATCCTCACTGAACTTAAACCACCTGATGATGTAACTGGCCTGTTGCTAGGCTACCACTTCCACACTTTAGGCAATAAGCTGTTATTGCACTATATAGAGAGCTCGGCCCAGTGCTCTGGGCGGAGGCAGAGACACTAGTGCTCGACCTACCACTAGGAGAACAAGCTGGGTAATAAACCCTTTCACCCTAAAGAAATGTTCTACTGTCATTTCTTTGGTCACACTGAATCTGTAGCAAACTTGCTGGGGGCTGAAACCCATTGGCAAGATACCAGCATTTGCTGGTGTCAGTGTTCTGGATTTTGGAAGTTCTAACAGGTATCATTCATTGGTAATGGTAATGGTATAATTGTTACACATTTTTCAAGACTTCATTTACATCATGTCTACTGTTGTCCCCTGGCCAAATAAATCATATGTGTGAGCTCAAAGCCCAAGAAGGAGAGAGGACCTGGATAAAGGGAGGTCATTAATTGAGGCCATTAATGCTATCAAATCTACCACAGGGAATATATACATGGTTTGTACAGGGAGTACTAAATAACATTATTGAAATTTGGACTAAGATCTAGAATCAATTGGAGAAGTTACATTTGAAATTAAGTGAAACAATTAGATGAGCATTTTCTAATTTTTAAGTGGTTCCAGATTTTCTGGTCAAGTCACAATTGCTAGTGATACTGATGTTGTTTTGTTTTAGGGTGTCTCCCAAATTCCTGTTGATAGACTTAGATGTAGAATTGGAAAGAAATAACAGGTCTCACACTAGGTGGTCCTTTGTTCCTTTAATTACAGTAATGATGAATGATGATCTTAAGGCTCTTGGTAGAGTTCCTTAGAATCCTGTTTAATAGAGTTAGCTCTCTACATAGCCAGTGGGCAGTCTGCTTTGTGACTTTTCTCTGAAAACCTAAGGCTGTTGGCATCTGTGCTTTATAACAGGGAGTTGCTCAGTCTCTTAATGGGTAAGGAGGGCTGTGTGTACACATGTATGCATGCGTTTGCAATTGTATGTAATGTGTGACCACTTTTGGTCCACTGTGATTTAAGTTTGGTTTTATCTGTTTTTACATCCACTGCATTCCCAGGAAATATTGAGAACTGACTTTGCATTTTCACTTATCCACTGCCTCTCTGGGATGCAGATTTGTTTTCTATTCCCTGGATTGCAAAACAGATGTTTGAGTAGCAGAGACTGGGATTACCATTCCGGATCCCAGCCAGCCAGCTATTTACAATGGTGTGGTGCTGCCCCCTACACAGTGATTCATACCAGGCCCATCAAGGGTTCTTTAACCTGGTCTTCTTTCCTCCACTGCCCTCTCTGTCGACCCCACATTGAACTTTGTTAATCCAGTGTTTGTTATTCATTGTTCAGGAATTGGGAGTCAAGGAATGTGGGTTATTCTGGCTCTTGGGTCACTTAGTGCTTTAGGGTCTTAGTTTTCTTTTCTGTAACATGATCAAGCTGGACTAGTTATTATTGCTAGTGATATTGATGTTTTATTTCCATCAGAGGCTTATTTCCTCTATTGTGTTCCTTCTCTGAAGATGCCCAGGCTCTCAGATGGCAGGACCCTAAGCAATTGGTGCCTGAAAACTCCCAGTAGTAGCAGACACAGCTGAGAAGCAGCAGGCTGGAAAACCGGTCTAAGAAAAATAGGTATTTGTGTGACTAAGGAGTTACTGCACTCCATTCTGAGCTGATACAAAACCATTACAAACTTACTTAAGCTGGGGCTTGGGGAACACCAAAAGAAGAGGTAAGTGTTCATTTGTAGAGAACTTAGAGAGTATCCTTTCAAAAAGAACTTTCCCTTGGCTCACCAAGCCAGGGATATGAGGATAAGGACAATGAAACGTTGGTGGGACAGAATGTATCCCATGTTTTCCATCAGTGTGTTTTGTTTTTAAATATGGTTAAGGTGGAAGTGATGGTGAGAAATACTACTTGCTTTGCTTCAGCTGGGAGCGATCCAGTACCTTTCCCACTCCTATTAAGTAAATTTAGCTACAACTTCAGGACAGCACTTTTCCAAGAGTTCTTTATTATCTGGCCCCTACACTCTCTTCTCTCCACTGACATCAGGTAAGATTACTAGTGCCTCCACCCCGACTCATTGCTGTTAGTAGGATTTAGCCCCCACCCCTATCACAGCCCTCTTTCCGGTCTTGTGTCTCCTACGACCCCCTCACCAATCTACCCTACTTGTTGGGTAGGTCTTACTCCCTGAGAACACTTGCTGTCATTAGAAGCAGTGACACACCGTCGCCTTGGAATCCTAGTCTGTCCTTTCTTGGTGGAGGGTGCACCTTGTCCTTCAGTGCGGGCTTCCCCCAAGTCGCGTCCAGCTTGCAGGCGAGTAGGAGTTGCAGAGTTCAGTGGCCTGAAAAGGGGGACAGCCCCATCCCAAACAGCTGTGCGTACCCGTGCCCGTGCTGCAAGACTGAGAACCGCCGACAAGCCTTTGGCTAGCCCTGGAGCCTTGGAGGAATCGGCAAAATCCAGGGGTCCGCCCCACCCCCACTCTTCGTCCTAGGCACGCGACCGCGGGACAGAGCGCCGTGTCCTGAAGCAGCGACACGGGAGCCCAGTCCTACTGCGGCGGAGGCCCTCGCAGCCGCTGCGATCCGGTCTTGCTTCCCTGCAGGGCGTACGGGGATGGAGCGAGGGGGTGGAGAGAAAAGGGGAAGAGCCTGGGCGGCCGGCGGGCGGGGCCTGCAGCCTCCCTGAGCCGCGGCAGCGGCCGCGCAGACCGCTCTCTCTGCACCTCGCTCCGACTCGGGCGCGCAGTGCGCCGGCACCGAGCCCGGGGTCGCCGCTGCTCACCGACCCCCGGCCCCCTAACGCGCCGCGCCCAGGCTGCGCCGGGCAGCGGAGCCGCCCGGAGCGGCTGGGGCTTTGGCGGCCGCTCGCTGTTCCGTCTGGCCGGACGACTGGCGGGGAAGGAAGGGGAGAGCGGGGACACACACTCGCCGCGGCGCGCACGCATTGCACACTCGCAGCCGCGCGCCCCCGCCGAGGTGCGTCCAGGCCACTTTGGCCCCGCGGCTCGGCCCCGACACCTGCCGGCTCCCCGCGCTGCTCTCGGGCGCCAACCCCGCCCCGCCGCCCTTCCTGCCCTAGGTCTGAACAGCTCTCCCTTCGCCGGGGGTAAGCAACTACCTCCCGATAACTTGCAGACTGTGGCGCAACTGGTCTCGACAGCGGGGGCGCCCGAATGCTGCCCTGGTGAGGTAAGTTTTCTGCGCGTCCCCGGCCCTTCCTCCCTAGACCCCTCTTATGGGCTCGGGGTTGCGGGATCTGTGTCTCTGATGAATGCTGGAAGTCTCTAAGCGCCCACTTTGTCCGCGTTGTGGAGGGGTTGAGGGTGGCCACCGAAGCGGGACCTTCATTCCTTCGGGGCCACTGCTGCGCGCTCCCTGAGGGCACCCACGGGTTCACCAACCCGCTCCCCGGAGCCGCAGTGACACTCGCTGATCACTCTGGGTTCATTAAGCAGGGGTCCCCTCACCTCTTCAAGGGAACCAGCTGACTCTGGCAGAAGGAGAAATCCCACACCACCCTCCCTGGCATTAAACAACGGCGAACTTGTTAGGTGCCCCTGGGATCTCTAGAAGGGCTTGAGAGCCAGTGTTCTGGTCGTTTCTGGAGCCGGTGCTGGATTGAACAGGTGCAATAAGGGTCCAGCTTAAATGCAGCCCTAGACTTACACGCGTTTCCCCTGCTTCTCTCCTCTAGCTCGGTCAACGTGAAGCTTGGACGGCCGGGAGGGAGTGGGGGAAGTGAGGGGCCGGTGGAAAGCGAGAATGCCAGGGTTTGATTTGCCAGGCCAGTGCCAGCAGTCGCCAAAACAGAAGACAACAAATGTCTGCTTATCTCTTTTCTATGCAGATAAGCCCGTTGTCATTTCTTACTCCCCATCCCCCTCTTCCCCCCCCCCCCCCCCCCCCCCCCCCCCCCCCCCCCCCCCCCCCCCCCCCCGCGCCTTCTCCTCCCAGCTCACTTGTCTCTGGTGCCCAGCGTGATTGGGTAGAAACCTGCCCCACAGAAGTTGTTTGTATAGGCTGATGTATTCTCTCACCTGATCTTCTGAAATCAGGGCTCTCAGCAGCGAATTGCTAGTTACTCTGATGCTTTTTAAAAACGATGTTTTAGACCAGCACTCCCCCGCCCACTATCTTTCTATGACATGATCTGCCTTGAATAACCCTGGAAGGCCAGTTGGGATTCAGAATGTGTCAGTCTACCGCGCAGGAGCGGCTTCCCCATCAGTACCCTGAGCACCAGCGTGTGGAACCCCTGTCGCCCCTCTGCTGAAGAGCCTCCATGCAGACTTCTCTCTGGTTCTGTTGAAAGGCTGAAGTGTTCTGCAGTTGTTGGAGTGGAGGCAAGGCGAGGGGTTTCCTTACCCCTACACCATGAAGTAGAATAGTCGTCATGGAAGCTTTCGTTAGAGTCTTTCCAGCTGAAAGGAGGCCCTGGGAAAAAACCTTTCTCAACCAACCGTGCCTGTGGGAAGTTGAGTAAGCATCAGGCATGATCTTTGAGTTAAGGGAAACGGTGGGTTCTGTGTACATTAATGTGAGTGAAGACTCAGAAGGACTGGTGAGGAAGCTGGCAAGTCTGAGACTGATGAATAATCCCGTCTTAGGTGAGAAGGAAAAGTGTTAAGAATTGAATGATAAAAAACCACATTACATTTTTATCCAAATGAAGACTAGAGGGATTTAATAATACCTTGCATTTGAATCAATGCCTTGGCATTTGGAAATGCTTTTCAGTGTTCTCATTTAATTCTGACCATTTCACAGGGAGCCAGGGCAAAGGTTATTACCCACAAATTCATGGGAAGAATGTGAGGCTCACAGGTTCAGGGATGTATCAAGGTAACAGGTGGCTGGAATTAGAGTCACAGTCATGTTTTCTTTAATCTCTGACCACCATTAACACCATACAGTGCTGTATAAGGTTTTAACAATGGCCAGACTGCTTCTGCATTTATTATGGTCTGTACTGTCTGAATTACAGTTTCCATTTCACAGGTGAGGAAACTGAAGTTTAGACAAGTGATGGGAATTTTTGGGTATCATGTCTAATCTAGTGGAGTTTATAAGGCTATAACTCAGGACTCCTGATATCTAGTCAGTTGCTTTATGGATTACGCCATTGTCCACTCCTGATAGCAATGAGGATATATCATGGATACTGCAGTATGCTAGGGGCAGTCAAGCATGCCTGCCAGTGAGCTGGATTCTAATTCTGGCACTATGGATTAATTCTGGCTGTATGACCTGGGCCAACTTATATCACCAGAGCCTCAAGTCTTCCACATATAAAACAAGAGGTTGTACTTAATTATCTTTCTAGTCTTAGTATTCTGTAATGCAATGTTAGTTTCTCTACGGAAAAAAAACTTTTCACCCTATGTTAAGAAAGGGATTTAGCTAATTATTCCACCTGTGAATTCCTCCTTTACCCTCTTGATCACATACCACTTAACAAAGGGAAAGAAAAATCCAAAGGCACTTTAGCTTAGCATCTATGTTGTTTAGTATTACTATTCGAGTTAAAAATATTCTGAGTAGCTTAACTACCATAAATTACTCAAGATTCATTTGAAGATTCCAGATAGTCAACTCATAACTTTATTGTTTTTAGCTTTGGGGTTTACATATAGTAAGTACTCAATAAATAGCTGTTGAATGAAGGAGGTAAATGAAATCACTCATAAAAGTAAGACACATGCTGTGAAACAGCATCTCATGCAAATTTCCAACATCTGATCCATAAGAAAATTTACCTGCGAGAGGTGTGTCTCCTGAAGCTATTAGGAACAGGTGCCCCTTGTTGCTCTCCTTCCTGAGTGCATCATATAGAGAAGAGTTTTTTTCTCCATGTAGACTCACATCATCTATGTCATGTTCTTTTGCTTGCCTCCTGGCTCACTTAGCTGTTAGTGTGTAGCTGGCTGAAAGATGAATTACTAGAAATCGACTTCTGCCATGAAAGAGTAAGTCTTAAGTTGGAGAAACCAGCCACTCTTCTTATATTTGAACAAATTTCAGCAGATGCTAGTACTGGCTGGTGGTTTCAGAGGGGGAACCTAATTAACAAAACCAACCTGGTTTCTGTTCCCTTAAAGATTCCTCTTTCTACCCTTCCTTCCTATATACGGCAAGTAGTGTTGTGTTTATAATAATGATGACAGAGTTAGAATGGATCTTAAATATTAACAAACCCAGGCATTGGGGAGTAAGGTATATTTCTGATAAAGAATTCAAGTATTAATTAGTTCAGAGACTTGCCCCTTTTATAGGTAAGACAGCTGAGGCTTGGAGAGGTGAGCTGGTCATTGTCACACAGATGTTCTGCAGGAGGACCAGGGCTATGTGGAATTCATTAGAAGGTTCATGTTCAAGTTGTGCAGGAGGTCCTGTGGTGAAGGGGCATTTTTGACTTTAGAAATCTTAGAGGTTAACAAAAAACTTCTGTTTACTAGTAATTATTAGTGAGGCATCCCATTTTTAAGTGGCTTAATATTTATATTTTTAAATTTCTTTGTACAAGCAGATACCATTAAGGAGAAAATGTTTTCATCTATTCACTATGATTCTCTTGGGTTATATATATCACAGGGCTCAGACTTAGTTCTTTGCTCCAAACAGTGCTTGGAGAAAGGGAACTATTTGAATAGAAATACAAATTATGGTGGTTTTTCAAGCCTCTCTTCCTGGTAAATAAACCCAGGAGCCAAAGGTGGCCCTCTTATTCAGCTGGTAAAGTCATAAGTATGTATACATTTAATTTGCATTTGCATTTTGCTTGTACTTCTGTTGAATGGTGAGTCAGAACATTAAAATCCTGGAAAAATAATTTTTTTCCCCTATGGCTCGAGCTTGCATTAGTAACTCTGTAAAACACCAAGTTCTAAACATATTTGTTGCAGAAACATGTTCTCTTTGTATCAAGTACATTAACTGGAGTTGGAAGGATACCTTTTATTTTTTTAGAGGCTTCCCAGTAAGAACTGTACATTATGTAGCTCAGCTGTTCATTTGTGGACTTATGTATGGCAGTTCTTCTAAATGCCAGGGAAATAAGAGAGGGAGGAAACGTAGCCTTCTGCTTTATTTAGTATTTTTCTTTTCAGAAATTTTAAACTTAAGCTGCTGAAGTTCTGTGTAGTAAACAACTGGCTGCCATTGACAAAGTGTCTCCTTTAACTAGGTTCCCTTCAGTATAAAAGATTGGGCCAGGGATAACAGGCTGGGGTTTGCCCCTTCCATTCTTCTTCAGTCTTTGCCTGTAAAGGAGTTGATAGAGGACAACAAGAGGAATCCTACCCATATTAGGTTACTCTTGGTAAGAATTGAAACATGGGTAGTAATTGGACATGGTTACATGTGTAGTCAGCTGGCAGTGCCGTGGTATTATAAGTTTAAGTTAAACTGTATTTGAACAGACAACTACATGAAGTATGTGTTCTTGTAGGAAGTGTTCTGTATTGTTTATGGGACAAATAAACAACATGTGGGCAGTAGGTTTTGGGAGTTTATGGAAGGGGCAAGCAAGTTCTTGAGACTTGTTTTCTTGAAGAGTTTTTAGAAAGTTAGCTGTAAAATTGTAATAAAGTATGAAGTACTGAGTCTACAGTATTGTTCCTACTAAAAAGTGAGCATGTGTATCTTTTGGTAAACGTTCTTTGGGCAAGGGTGGGACTTGTAAGCACTGGGGGCCCAGAAAGTATAATTACTTTGAATTGGAACTGAAGTTCCGTAAATGCTGAGCAAGGGATTTGGGAGGAAAATGAGCTATGTAGTAATAGCTAGCCATAAAAATGTGTTTCTTTGCTTTGTAGACTAGTACAAAAATACAGTAGATCCAACATAATAGCTAGTGAGTTTCAGGATTTCTTGCATTTTTTTTCTTTTTTAAGCCTTGCCTACCATTGTGATCTCAGGATCATTTAGTCACCCCATTTGTGAGGAAACAAAACAGCAACAGTAAAAAGATGCTGTACTATGGCCTGCTTGAGGGAGTGATAAGCATATCATAAGTATTTAGCTAATATTTGCCAATGGAAAAGTTTACCCATCATGTTTTATCTGTGTATTTTTGGAACTTAGCACTATGCCTGGCAAATGGAGGGTATTTGATGTGTATTGAACAATTTATAACCAAATGAATATCACTCTTCAAAACCTTGGGGCATTTCATAATTATTCCAAAGATT